ATATCAGTGGATTTTAAGTTAGAGCAGGTTAAATACGTTAATCTATGAGATAAAGTATTGACTAATGTGTTAATCAATTGTAATCCTCACTACTGATTTTCACGCTCCTTATTTGTTTTTATGCATGAATGCGAAATAAGAAATACCGTTTTAAGCATGACAGGTGTAATCAATGCATTTATCATAATAAAGTACGATTAATTATTACCAAAACTTGTAGTTATGAAGACACGGCGAAAATATAGGCCATCTAAATTATCATTATTCAGCTTCTTCTTAAGGATGCACAGTATCTTGATATTGTGTAGCACACTCGAATTTCCCGACACCAACGTCCTCTCAATTACATTCCCTGTACATTTGTGTGCTCTGCTGTATCTCCGTTCAGCTGTGCTTGGGAGACTATTTACTGGTGGTAAAAATACAAAACAAAGTTTCCACGATACAGCAAATAAGTGTTGTATTGGTAGAATTGATAATCCTCTACTATTCGACTTATTAAGTCGATATGAGTTAATGGGACTGTTGTCTTTTACTGCGCCTTTTGAGAATCTATGTCGTTCCTCTAAACTTATAAACTGTTGTTTATCAAAGAAACTGAGCGGATTTATAGCATTCCTCAAATATCTTTTGTCACTCTCTCAATGTCAGGTGATTTCTCATTTCTTCAATAAATTCGAGAAACATTCACATTCTACTCATAATCACTGCCAACTAGATGACAACTTTGATAGTACACGAAATTTACTTGACCTGAAGAATTCCCGTGAGTGACCTTCAGGTGAGCTGTCCTTCCCGCATATATCACATATCTTGAAAAGTGACATTATGCCAATTTTTTTTGACATTATACTGTTTTTTTACATGTAGGTTTTTCTACAAGATGTTAACTTAGCACTTAGTTGTACGTGTTGCCTAAACGTCATGAGGCTTGTTATCAATCTTTGGCTCTCATGTGATGTCAAATCTGTTTCAGAGATGGCATTACTGGAGGTCTAAGCTGTAAGTTGTTTGTGTTGATGATAATAATAATAATATTTATTACCCTCATTGATCAGTATATACAAAGTTTACAAACAAAAAAAGCCTTAAGAGGATAAAGGGCTACATCAGCTTGCCCCTTAAAGAAGCAGCTTCTAGAGCCAAAAAAAAAAAACAACAAATTTAAAAATTCTATAGTAAGACAAATGGCTATTAAGACATTGATAATTAATAATGTTAAACTTAAGAAATATAGCGAAGTATAGTAAACAGAGAAATGGAAATTTAGAGTGAGAAGAGAAGACAAAGCGAGGGGAAAGAGAAAAGGGAGGATCAGGCGATGTGTTTTCTATGATATCTGAGACAATAAATCACTTTTAAGGTTCCTCTTGAATGAAGCTACCGAGAGAGAAAAATCTTTAATTTTGAATTTATTTACCAAAAAGACAATTTGATATGAGAATGATTTCATAAATCATTCTTTATTGTGTGATGGTATTGTAATCAAATTCAACCTTCTAATGTTTATAGTAGATTATGTACATCAGTCCGGTAACTAATTTTTAGATAAGGAGGGCTTTTATATTTTACAATATTGTAAAAAAAGGAAGTAGAGTGCAAGGTACGCCTCTGAGCCATATTCAACCGTCCAAGTTTGTCTACCCCTTATGCCAAATATCAGTCTCAGACAAGAATTCTCAGCTTTTTGAACCCGTTTTAGTTCCACACTATCAAGAAATGGGCCATATACCATATCAGTAAATTTGAATTGGGACAACACTAAAGCTTAGCAGAGCGTGGCTTTAGTATTTTGTGATAGGTAATGTATATGGGGGTAAATTATTTTTAACATTGAATATGCTTTTCTTAGGCACAGAGTAATGTGCTCTCTAAACTTAAGTTTAGAGTCAACCACTAAGCCCAAGTCCTTCACGGAATCCCTAAATGATATTATATTGTCCCCTAGTTTGAGCTTAATATTATTTTCTGATACGTTTCTGCAGGAATCACTACAAAACAATATAGCCGTCGATTTACTAGGGTTTATCTTTAACAAGTGATCTTCAGAGGTTTTGAGAAGGCTATTCAAGTCGGTATTTAGTCAGTTTGTTATAAGTTCTGACCGATCAGGTTTAAAAGAGGCATAAATTTGAGTGTCGTCAGCATAAAGATGATATTGACAATAACTCAGCGACTTCATGAAATTAAAAGTATAAGTATAATGGACCCAAAACACTGCCCTCGGACACCCCTGATGTAATTGTAACTGCATCTGATATGTTCCCGTCCAAAGTCACGCGCTGCATCCTTTCAGATAAAAAAGAATTTATAAATGCATAGGCCGGCTGCTCTAATCCAATATATTTCAAAATAGCCACTAGTATCTCATGATCAATCATGTCAAATGCTTTCGTGTAGTCCAATAACACTAAGGCAGTAGCATTTCCCGCATCCTGTTCTCTGATGACATCATCCACAAGATCTGTTAATGCTGTGGAACAACTGTACACGGTTCTAAACCCTGACTGTCTAGAGGGGATGATATTGTTGGCAAAAACGTAGTTAGCAACTTGTATAGAGATTGCCTTTTCCAAAAGTTTAGAAAAGGTCGGTAAAAGCGAGATTGAACGAAGTTGTCCAATTCTGTCGGATTGTTAACCTTAGCTAATGGAAGAACATTGGCCAGCTTCCAGCTTTTAGGAAAATAAGACCTTTTAATACAAGTATTTATAATATGGGTAATATAAGGAGCTATAAAGGGCAACACAAGGAAATCAGGGTAACGTTCAGGCTATCAGCGCCAAAAGCCTTCGTCTTGGAACTGAGGATACTATTTAAAAGAAAATCTTCGTCGATTAGGTTAAATGAGAAGGTTTCATTAAGCAAGGAGTTGTTGTTATAGAAATGCAACAATTCTTGTTTTGGAGTATTATTTTGTGATATTTGGTGATAAGTTCGTTAACATTCCTTAAATGGTCAGGGATGTATTTATTTTTATTTCTAAGTATGTTTAGTTTTTTTAGTTCAGCCCATTTTTCCTTTTCTGAGCAATTCTGAAACTGTAAATTTAGATATGCCTTTTTTCGGCTCTAATAGCAGAAGTGGTCAGGTTTCTTAATTGTTTATAATAGTCTCGGTGACCTGGTTGGTGCGTTCATCTAAAACGTGAAAGAGCTTGATTTCGAAGCCTTTTCATAAACTTAATGTTATGGACTGTATGGTCTTTTTCGACCATTGCAGCCTTTTAGGGTGCATGGGAATCAAAAATATTTAATATAGCGTCTGTTGAAAATGATACCTTATGATCTATGTCATCTATTTGATATAGGCGCCGACTCAATGTCAGTCTGAAACAGAGCTAGATTTATGCGATAGCTGTTATTCGCAAATCTACATAAACAAGAAGGTGATCTGAAACATTGGGATCTCGAACGCCCACATCCTCCACTATCTCGGGATTACAGCATACTAAATCGATCAAAGTAGAATTAGTGTTTGATATTCGTGTTGGCTCAGACACCACTTGACTTAAGGAAAAGGAATTTGAAATATCATTTAATTGGGTGACATTTGAAGAATCGATATCCAATACATTTATGTTGAAATCGCCCAAACAGACAATTTGGTTACATTCAGTACTGAGGTCAATCAAAATGTCTTCTAAATAATTTAGAAATTCCTTACAGTTAGAGCTAGGTGGTCTGTAAATAATGCCAACAATGAGTATTTCTTTTTCAAGCTGAATTTTAACCTAAATATGCTCAATTATGTCCTTGCACTCACTCTTCAACATATTAAATTTAAGGTTAGATTTTAGATATATTCCAACACCACCACCGCGGGTCACGCGGGTCTTTCCTGACAAATTTGTAACATTCAAGGAAGTAATATCACTGTCACTATTAGAAGTTGACCAGCCCTCTGTAATGCCAACTATATGATAATTACTGTCAAAACATCCTCTTTAAAACTGTCGAAATTATTTATGAGAGATCTGACATTAATATGGCACAGCGCATAGAAGGAGTGGTAGAAAGAAACAAAAAGAAAAGGATAAGAAAAGAGAGAAAGTAGTATAGAAATTAATATAGGTAGACAAGTATCTGAAATACTTATTACACAAGAACCTAAATAAATAATGTTTGTACCTGCAGCCGTACAAAACAAGCTTCTTTTTCAAGTACCCCATACAATAATTCATATGCCATGCCCATGAAAAACTCTACTCTTAACCTTATAGAATAAAACTTTAAAAAAACAAAACAAAATTGACGCAAATTAAAATATTAGCTATATCAATTAAGGACTGTCGTTCTGTTCTTACACTAGTCTCGTCGAATTGAAAGACAACACAGAACACATCCACTCATACATACCTAATTAAGTGTATCAGCTAAAGGTATAGAAAATAAAATTTGCAAAAATAAATCCTACAACATGAAAAAATGTAGTTGTGTAATTCAAGTAGTAAGTAGTACAATATAGGTATTATAATAGATGTGACAGCATAAATATGATGTCCATACCTCTAAGCAAAATCTATATAAGATGTACATGCTATCCATAGTAATGTGGTTTATTTAATAATATACATACGTTATGAGATGAATCAACGTTCAATCAAATAAACCAGATGAATGGCAAAATAAATGCGTAGTATTTTCCATTTGGACACGCAAAAGGAATCGGGAATACACATCTAACTCACGAGTTTTTGCAAGTCTCCCGAGTTATTAATGCGATGCATAACGTCACCAAGTTTCACAAACACAAGACCATTACTACACCAGGCATTTTTATAAGTATATTTGTTTACAGCGGCCACAAGGAGGTCCAGACGCTTTTTCGTTAATCTTATTTTATTAACACACCCGTAGAACGCATTTTTTTTTTTCGATTTTTAAGGATTGACGACCGATCCCCATCGCACGAAAAACGAACTAAAACTGCAGGCGGTTTATTATTCTTAGTCTTTGGTTGTACCCTATGGCATTTTACAATTCCCGATTCATCGATGTTTACTTTAATACCTTTAAAAATGTCCTGTACCTTTTTATGTAAATTATCACCGTTGTCCATGGGTAGGCCAAATCTCTTACATTAAGGTTTCGAGATGCCTGTTCCTGGTCATCAACCGTCCATAGAATTGTGTCCTGCGTGTCCCTAAGGTCCCTGATCTCTTCTTTGAGTTCAACGATGGTATGTTCCTGCTCTCGCAGCCTTGTCTCATACTTCCTTTCGAGGACCTGGGCAACTCTTTCGGCAATAGTCTGTAGAAACCGATCTGTAAATATACCTTTAATTTTCTCAACGTCGTTATCTGAGAGACCCATGTTTGTTTTCTGCGGGGTTCTAACCTTACAAAAAGCAGCTATGTAGGACAAAATATCGGTGGAAAATGGAACAAATTTTAACGATTCGTGAATGAGCTCAAAAAATCACTTCGGAAAAACACCACTCAGGAGGGGACACTTCAATATTTACTGGAAATTTTTGGAAAAACTTGGCTGCGATTGCAAACGTATGTTCAGTCACAGAGCGCCATCTGCCATCCCCAATTACATTGGGTTCTTCTTAAGTACACTTAATTGAGATTCGAAGTTAGAAATTAGTTGCGCATCCAGTTTTTCTTATCGATTCTGCAAATTACATATACAAGTTTGCTGAGTTTCCTAAATGAGAGAGATAAGAAATAATTATTCACT